TTACACCAGAAGCACAGAATATGGCCATAACGAAGCTGTGATGACTCACCACGGAATTTTCTAAGGCAGTGCGGTGCTAGTGGTAAAGAATCCTCTGCCCATGCAGGAGACAGAGGGTTTGATCCCTGGGTCGGGAAGATCCCCTGGAGTTGGAAATGGCACCCCACTCCAGTGTTCCTGCCTGGCGAATCCCCGTGGACAGAGGAACCTCATGGGCTACAGTCCACGGAAACGCAAAGAGTCAGACATGAATGAGCGGCTGAACACACACAGTTCAGTAGCATGAGTGTGGTCACTCGCCAGGATTTGTTGCCAAGAATTCTGGGACATTTCCTTACCGGATCGCTACAATCCTTAATGTTTCCTTCTTTCCTTTCTTTCTCCCTCCCTCCCTCCTACAAATATTTGAACATCTTATGTCCCAAGTACTAGGGACACACCAGTGAACACGCAGAAAGCCCTGCACTCATGGAATTTGTATTCTATTGATACTATGGGAGATTATTCAATGTGATCATTAAATTTAGGTTTTGGTTTTTTTTCCCTTGTGATGGATCCTATAGACTTGTGTTGAATCCCTCACTCTGGTCACTTTCTGTATGATTTAAATCACTCCACATCTCTGAGCTTTAATTTACAAACTTCTTGGGAGGATGAACTGCCTTTCCCAAAGTAAGCCCTGCCCCACACGTTAATATATGATTATCCCTGTAGAAGTAACTGAGGCTGCAAATCTAGCAAGCTTTTGGCATTTAAATGGTGGTTGGATTTGTAAATCCTCTAATTTACATCCCTGTGTGTGGGCTCCTTTGTGTTTGAGATGAGATAGGAGAGATTTCCAAATTAAGGTCAAAGAACTTGAAACACATTTTCTGGGATCTCCCCCAAACCAGCCTGCCTTTGAGAAATCCTGCCGTGGGTAAGTGGCTGAGTTTCTGCCTGGACTGTGGTCACGGGGGCCTCTGGTTCTATTCAATTTACTCCCTGCGGCAAGCGCCAAAGACTCAGCCGCAGCCTTACCATCACCGCCTACGCATGCAGCGAGTCAGATCCTTCTGGAAGCAGGCCAACATTACATTTTACACTGAACCTTTGTTAATAAAAGGAAATTTAAGTAACTCTGAAGCTAAGGCAGGGTCCCTTTCACATGTACATTTAGGGCATCTTTTTTTGTTGTTGTTGTTTGGGTCTAGTTGTTTCAAAGTTGCAGTAATTTCATCGTGACTTTGACTGTACAGTATTAGAAGATGTAGACACGTTTGTCTAGGTCTCTAGAATTTGCCTGCTGAGGAACATCTTTTGTCCCAGACTTTTCATAATTAACTTGACTCATCTCTCTTTTACATTTATTTTTCAATGTGGACCATTGTTTAAAGTCATTATTGAATTTTTTAAAATATTGCTTCTGTTCTGGTTTTTTTTTTTTTTTTGGCCATGAGGCATGTGGACTCTTAGCTCCTTGACCAGAGATCAAACCCAGGCCTGTTGCATTGAGCACAAAATCCTAACCACTGGACCACCAGGGAAGTCCCTGACCCGTCTTTTTGATGTTCAACCTTCTGCCTACTGTCTCCCACAGCTCTCCGAGTCCTGCCTCCAAGACAATGAGAGCCTCTGGGGCTTTGCCACCAGGATGACAGACATTAGGGTCTGTTGCTTTAAAAGGCTCTTAATTCACTTTATGTTCTAGTTGCATGTAGACAAAGCAATTAGTGGTCATTCTGTGAACATTCTGATTTTCCCTTTAAAGATAATTATTATATTATGAAGATAGTAATATGCTGAATTATTTCAACCAATTAAAATATCAATTCTATTCATTGTTATCTATTTGGGAGAAAAAGAAAGAAAAGCAAGACTAATATCAGGAACTTCTCCAGGCAACAAATACTTACCATGCACCTCCTGAAGATAAGACTGTGTTGGTTACTAAGGATCCTGCTGGGAATGAGGCAGTCAGTGCTGCTGTCTCTGTAGACCTTGTATCAGCCAGAAAATTGATTAGAAAGGAGACATGTTTACTAATGGAGCCAATATCCTTCCTGTTCAACTCCAACCTTTCACCCTTGACCCTGCATCCCTCAGCCAAGGGGGCTGGGATTTGCCTCCTAGATGGTGTTATTAAAGTTTGGACATGAACAAGCACTTCAGACACTTCTTAACATAGGTTGAAACAAAAATGTATTTGATTAACCCCCAAATTCAGTCAACTTGAAACCCATCTAACCAGTTTAATTGAGGTGTTACACATACTTTAGAAAGGGTAAATATACCTTTAGAGAGCTTCCAGGTTTGCAAAGACTCTCACCAGTATCTTTGCTTTGTGCCTTTGATGAACTGTGAGGTTATCACCAGATGCTATTGATCTTATTTTATAGTCGAGTAGAAACATGTGAAGGGTTAGCTGCTGTCATGTCTGACTCTTTGTGACCCCATGGACTGTAGCCCGCCAGGCACCTCTGTTGGTGGAATTCTCCAGGCAAGAATCCTGGAGTGGGTTGCCATTTCCTCCTCCAGGGGATCTTCCTAACCTAGGGATCGAACCCGGGTCTCCTGCATTGCATGCAGATTCTTCACCATCTGAGCCACGGGGAAGCCCTGGCTTTGAGTACTTACTGTGTGTAGGACAGAGGAGCCTGTGGGCTACAGTGCGTGGATGGCAGAGTCAGAATCAGGCATGGCTGAAGCAAGTGGGCAAGGACACACAGATGGCTCTCCTCTGTCTGCGCTGGAGGATTAAAAATGAAGCTGAGATGACAAATTATTAAGTGACCTTCAGATAGAGAAGAAGAAATATTATGTGATACCCCTTTTATATAGAATCTTAAAAAAAATGGTACACACAAACTTATTTACAGAACAGAAAGAGACTCACAGACTTAGACAACAAACTTATGGCTGCTGGGAGAAGGATGGGGGGGTAGATAGTTAGGGAGTTTGGGATGGACATGTACACACTGCTGTTCTTAAATGGATAACCAGCAGGGGCCTACTGTATAGCCCGGGGATCTCTGCTCCCTGTTACGTGGCAGCCTGGATGGGGGGGAGTCTGGGGGAGAATGGATACACGTGTATGTATGGCTGAGTCCCTTTGCTGTCCACCTAAAACTGTCACAACATTATCAATCAGCTCTACCCCAATACAAAACAAAAAGTTTGTTTTTTAAAAAGAAAGAGAAAAAATTCTCTCTTTTTTTTTAAAGAAAGAGAAAAAAAGTAAATTGGGAAAACAGTTCTTGAATGACCTAGATTTTGTTGCTGAAGTAAGTCTCAGTCAGTTTAAGTGTACAGATGTAGATGGTCCAGAGGGAGTCTCTCCCAGCGAGGGCCTGTCAGCGTGACCTCACCCAGAGGCTGCAGGTCAGCTGGCTTCTTGGGACCAATTTTTCATCTCAAGCCACTGGTGTGAGTGACCACAGGAATTTCTGCAAGATACAGATGGTGGCTGACTCTCATGATTTGTACTGGGTGCTACTGAAGATGTTTCTTTTCTGGATGATTCAGTGGGAGAATTTACTCTGATGTGGGGTGGAGGCCAGTGGTCCCTGGAGTTTTCATTTACTGGAACTTCCCAATAGATCAACCCCCACATAGAGAACACTAGCTGTCAGATTTCCTCTAATTTCAAACATGTTTGGAGTTTTTTTCTTTTTAAACTTAAGTATGTACAGGAATTCATATCCATCCCCTTTAAACGCCAGCTGGGTAGTCTGGGCTCACTCTTCTGGCTTCCCACTCTGTGCCATGAGGGGATCAGACTGGAGCACAAAAGCCTCTGCAAAGCCTCTGACTTTCTTGGGTGCTGCATCGCTAGATTCCTGCCACGTCACGAGCCAAGAAGGGGAAGGCCGTGTGAGATGCAGACAAGATCTCACTCTGAAACCACCCGGTGAGTGAGGACGGCAGAAAGCTCAGTGACAGGAATCACTTCCTGCTTTGAATTCAATGTGTGGTGAAGCTTCTGGCTCAGAACTACGGTATGTGCGAACAGCCAACCCCATACAGACGCAACCCGTTCCAGGATTCTTGCTTGGAGAATCCCATGAACAGAGCAGCCCGGCAGACTACAGTTCATGGGGTAACAGAGAGTCGGACACGACTGAATGACTGAGCACTCCTGCAGACTCCAGACCTGACATCTGAGATACAGGCCATCCTGCTGCCTTGCCTCCACCCACTGCCCTCTCAATCTCCTCTGCTCCCCACCTGTAGGTCTTTGCACCTCTTTCCATCTCTCCCCCTCACCTGTCAGCAGTGCCCTGCTCCCATTAGATGGAGAGTTGTCCACCCTCTTCTCTCTCCCTTTTAAGGACTTTGATTCTACAAATATCTCTCTCTTCTGTGTCATTGGAGAAGGAAATGGCAACCCACTCCAGCACTCTTGCCTAGAAAATCCCATGGATGGAGGAACCTGGTGGGCTACAGTCCATGGGGTTGCAAAGAGTCAGACACAACTGAGCGATTTCACTTTTCCACTTTCTGTGTCATTAGCCATTTCTTCTACAGCATTTTCTCAGCAACATAAGCTTTACTATTTCCTGTCCTAAAACAAGGGCTTCCCAGGCGGTGCTAATGGTAAAGAACCCACTGTCAATGCAGGAGATGCTAGAGATGTGGGTTCGATTCCTGAGTCGGGAAGATTCTCCTGGAGAAGGAAATGGCAACCCACTCCAGCGCTCTTGCCTAGAACATCCCATGGATGGAGGAACCTGGTGGGCTACAGTCCATAAGGTCGCAAAGAGTCTGAGATTACTGAAGCGACCTACCGTGCACGCATGTCCTAAAACAAACAGCAACATCATCAATTAAAAAAAAAAAAATCCCACGAACCTGTGCAGCCACCTCACTTCTCCGCTCTGTCCCGGTGAAGCCCCTCTTCTGCTGGCTGTAACGGAGCCACTCTAACCAGGCTTCTGCACCCACTCCTTTTGCCTTTCTCTCCAGATCACCGATGCCCTCCGGGTTGCCAAGTTCCATGGCTCAGGCTGCTGTCATCTTACCTAAACCGCTGGGGCTTTCCGTACCCCGGACCTCCTTGAAAACCTTTCTTCCCCCAGCAGTCAGGACGCTTCTGTCTTCTGCTTTTCCTCCCATTCACTGTGGGGTCCTGCCTAATCTGGTCTGGTCCTGTGTCTCTGGTTTCCTCTCCTTCTCCCCTTGATGCCTCCTGCTCCCCCGCCCCCTCTCCATCACACACAGGCGGAGGGTGCATACCATAGCTGTGGCTCTGGGGGCCTTGGGAGGGGTGATGGTGAAGCTGGAACCAGCCTTCAGATCTGAGAGTCAGTAAGAGGTAACGTGACAGGGTCTCTGCCTCCAGTCTAAAGTCAACAAGGCACAGACGTTGCTGGTGGTCCAGTGGTTGAGAATCCGCCTGCCAGTGCAGGGGACATGGGTTTGATACCTGGTCTAGGAAGATTCCACATGCCTTGGCACAACTAAGGCCACGTCCTGCGACGACTGAAGCCTGCATGCCTCGAGTCTGCTCTGCAGTGAGGGGAGCCACTGCAATGGGAGCCCACGCACCACAAGTAGAGAGTGGCCCCTGCCTGCTGCCACTAGGGAAAGCCCACATGCAGCAACAGAGATCCAGCACAGCCATAAATAAATAAAATTCAAAATAAATAAACGAACAAGGCCCTAGCAGGGACGGCAGGATTCCCGTGTGGAGATACAGGTCACAAATATAATTTAGGCGATGAATTAAAGGCTCATTCAATATTTAAATACAATGCAAATCAGTTCTAAAGCAAAGTCGCTAGGTTACATTGACAGTGATAGCAGGGTAGGCAATCTTTTTTCTTTAAAATTGTTCTCTCCAAGGTGGGTCATAAAACGGATCAGCACTCAGCTGATTACCGGGTAGAGCACCTCTGGGGCAGCAGGAGGTACTGGCTTTACTTGGAAACCAGGGTTAACTTGATTAAAAGCAGGCCAGGCAGCCTGTGAGTAGCTGTGATGGAATTCTGGGAGATTAATGTCCCATGAAGGGATTTTAAGGATCAGATCATGGCTCAGAAAGCCTGGTAGTCAAGTAGTGAGAGCTGTCAAAACAAAACAAAGAGATCAAAAGTCTAGGGCAAGACTTTGCAATTTGGTTCACTGAACTAGCTGGGGAAAAAGTGACTCCATTTGATTAGGAATAATGAATTTGTCAAATCTGTATGAATATCATGTGATGACCTGTGCTATGTGCTAAGTCACTCAGTCGTGTCTGAATCTTTGTGACCCCGTGGACCGTGGCCAGTCAGTCTCCTCTGCCCATGGGATTCTCCAGTCAAGAATACCAGAGTGGGCTGCCATGCCCTCCGCCAGGGAATCTTCCCAGGCCAGGGATTGAACCCGCATCTCTTACACCTCCAGCATTGGCAGACAGATTATTTACCACTAACACCACTGGATCACCTATAACAATAAAACTTTTCTGCTTCTTACTTGGAGGTGATTTCTTCAATGTGACACCCAAAGCAAAAGCAACAAAAGCAAAAATAAATGGGATGACGTCAGTTCTAGCACTGGATGGAGGATAGAATATCCTATTTACTGCATACCTTTACTAAATATGTTGTTGTTTGGTTGCTAAGTCATGTCTAACTCTTTGCAACCCCGTGGATTGCAGCATGCCAGGCTTCCCAGTTCTTCCCAATCTCCTGGAATTTGCTCAGACTTATGTTCATTGAGTCAGTGATGCTATCTCTCTTCCTCTGTAAACTTCTCCTTTTGCCTTCAGTCTTTCCCAGCATCAGGGTCTTTTCCAATGAGTTGGCTCTTTGCATCAGGTGACCAAAGTATTGGAGCTTCAGCTTCAGCATCAGTCCTTCCAATGAATATTCAGGGTTGATTTCCTTTAGGATAGACTGGTTTGATCTCTTTGCCATCCAAGGGACTCTCAAGAGTCTTTTCCAGCACCACAGTTCAAAAGTATCAATTCTTCAGGTCCTCAGCCTTATTTATGGTTTAACTCTCACATCTGTACATGACTACTGGAAAAACTATATGGACCTTCGTTGGCAAAGTGATGTCTTTGCTTTTTAATATGCTGTCTAGGTTTGTCATAACTTTTCCTCCAAGGAGGAAATATCTTTTAATTTCATGGCTGCACTCATCATCTGCAGTGATTTCGGAGCCCAAGAAAATAAAATCTGTCACTGCTTTAACTTTTTCCCCTTGTATTTGCCATGAAGTGATGGGACCAGATGCCATGATCTTAGTTTTCTAAATGTTGAATTTTAAGTCAACTTTTTCACTCTGCTCTTTCACCTTCATTAAGAGGCTCTTTAGTTCCTCTTCACTTTCTGCCATTAGAATGATATCATCTGCATAACTGAGGTTGTTGATATTTCTCCCAGCAATCTTGATTCCAACTTGTGATCATCCAAGTTATATATCTACTAAAAATGTAGAGAAAGGATATTCCAGGTTTAATCCAGTGTCAAGACTGGTGGAGGAGAGATGAACACCACCAATTATTAAAATGATTAACAGGGATGAATAGCAAACACAGAGCAACACCCCAAACACAGAGCAACCATGTGGCAGCTTTCCTGTCACTTTCCTGTGTTTAGTAGTTGGAGGAAATGAAGGGCTGGGTCAAAGAGCACATTTTCAAATATCTGTCTAACTTATGGAATTTTTGCAAACATTTTCATGTTCTAATGGAAGTTCCTGGGGTAAGGGGAGGCAATTATTCCTCGTGTTTGCTTCATTTAAGTCTAAGGATCTATAACCACAAACTAATCACCCCATGGACTCAACATGCCAGTTCCCAGAAGCAGAGAGAGCCATGTAAGTTCTAAACAATCTTGAAATCTTGCGATTTTGCTCTGTGACTTAGAGCTGCAGGTCTGCATCCAGTCCTGTCTTCTAAACATGTCCAGATTCCTTTCCTTAAGTCTTGAGTTTGGGTCCAAAGCCTCACAATTGAGGCCCCTGTCATTACTCCTGTGGATGGAGGGTCAAGCCCGAGTTTCTGCCTTCTGCAGAAACAGGTTGCAGGTCTGTTCATACCAGTTTCCACGGTGAGAGAATGAAAGCGTAGGAGTTTCTGTATACTGAATCTGATCCTGCATTCTCTGTGAAAATAGAAAACGTGATGGATAGATAATCAAGAGATCTAAATGGATGGTGGATGGATGGATTGGTGGATTGGGTAGAAGGATGGATGATGGATGGATGGATGGGTGAATGGATGACAGATAGAGGGTGAGAGGGATGGACAGACAGATAGACAGATGAATGAATGGATGGAGAGATGGGCAGACAGAAGGTAGGGAGATGAATAGATACAAAACTTAGGATGAACTGGGAGAAAAACCCACTTTTGCCCTTTCATTAAGGTAGCATTTTTGTTGATTTTTCTTCCCAGGGATCCCCTGATTCATGCAATCAATCATGTTTTCCTCTCTGGCTGCTGGAAAGAGTAGACACATATTTAATCTCACCTGTATCAAGTGTAAGGTCCTCACAGGCTGCATCTTGGATGCTGTCTGTACTCCTGGACCATGGTTTTTTCTTTATCATCGTTATTGTTACTCCTGGGACATTATTATTATTTTTTCCCCCTCATACTCAGTTTTTGTTTTAATCTAACCTAGTGTTTATTTTTACAAACTGCATTTTTTTTTTAAAGGGAAAGGAGTTGGGAGGAGAGGCCAGGAATGCTGGAATGTGGCAGGAAGGGAGATGGTCCAGGGAGGGAGGGAAAGACCGGCAACCGCCTCAGGGAGGGCTTCCCCTGGGCCCCTGTCCCTTCCCTGGACCCCTTCTGTCTTCTCCAAGGCCTTGTCCTTTTCTGAGAGCCCCTTGCTTCTTCTCTGGGGCTCCTTTGCGGCAGGAAGCAGAAGCTCACAGAGGATGGCGAGCTGCCCAGGGTCACACGGCCTAGAAAGTAGCTGAGTCTGACTCCTGACGGGGCCGGCCGACAGGAGCGGTCACGGTCAGGCTTGCCAGGCCCTCCCCTCTCCCTAGACGCGGGGGTCATCGCAGGACCACTGCTCTGACAGCCACCCGGTCCTCAGTGTCCCCTCCCACCCCTGGGTATCGCTTGTCCCCAGGCACCCCCGCTGGCCGTCCCTGGTCCTCCCAGGCCCCTCTCCTGCCACCCCACCCCTGATCACCCTCCTCCCCTGTGCGAACACTCTTCTCCAAAATGTTCATCATGCTTCAGCCTCAGCACGGGGACTGCCTTCTCTGAGAGCCTTCCTTGCATCGGGGTGGCGCCTCCAGTCTCCCCAGTGAGTGGGTGGCGGCGGGAGTTTGAAACTCGGGATTGGGGATCTGCATGACTGGGTGTCAGAGCCGCCTCGCCTGGGCTCAGCCTGGTGAAGTCAGCGTGAAGGTTTCAGACGCTCTGCAGGTGACATGCTCACCCCCGGGGGAGCACAGAGTGGGGGCCCGGGAAGGCTGCGAAGCTGGGTTTGAAGGTCAGGAGACCCTTCACTGTCACCAGCCTAGTAGTCATGTTTGCAAGGAGACTTCGATTACCCTGAACCTCAATGGACTTTGTTACAAGGGGATGGCATGGTGGGCAGTGTGGGGGCCTTAGGCTGCAAACAGGCTGGCTTTTCTACCATCACCTACTAATGTGCTTGGGCCACAAGCTGATAAACAAAGACTTTTAATGGCAATAAAAGTCCAATCTCCCCTCTATCCACCCTGTCTGTACTGGGGTAGTTTAGTAAACTAGGGTGATTGTCGCCATCGGCTTCCTACCTGCGGCCACCTGTGTTCTCTGCTCAGATAAACCCAGGGTGCGCCAACATGTCCCCGGGGAATAGAGGGAGTGTTGGTGACTCTGTAGAGATGTAAGAGGCCTGGGTTTGATTCCTGGGTCGGGATGATCCCCTGGAGAAGGGCATGGCAACCCACTCAGGTGTTCTTGCCTGGAGAATCCCATGGACAGAGGAGCCTGGCGGGCTACAGTCCATGGGGTCACAAAGAATTGGACATGGCTGAGCACACACACAGTTGGGCTCTCAAACTAGAAACAACTCTCATGTTTGCTAGAGAGCTGGGGAGTCCAGAGAACTGGGGGCTCGTGTGTGGCCCTCCACTGACAGAGACGCTGACACTGACGAGGTTGGACCTGGCGGCAGAATCTGGGGATTCGTGGGGAGCTGGCTGGAGAGTGGTCATCAGTTTCGAACCCTACGAAGCGCAGTCCCTGAAAGAATCTTAATCCCATTTGAGAATAATCATGTCAAGGTACTGAAG